TACGTTGCTCTTCTTTTTGTATTTCAGGGTGTTCATGAATTCAAGCTGTGTATTATACTATGAGTAATGTCAAACTGTGACATCATTAAATATAATGTAGTTGTATTTATTGTCATATATAGCTTGTCATATTGTTTAAAGCAATTTCCTAAATACAGCTGCAGAGGTGTTAAAGGAGAATTGCATCTGCAAAAAAGTCTCTGCATTTTTTTATACACTCTTGAGTAGCAAACACGATGCGATTCAAGTGCCAACACTTTTCCTGGCTGTGCGTGCACATTTTCTCCCTGACCTCCCTCTGCCATCTCCTGGTAATCACAGGGCAGTTAGTGACCACTTTGAAGGACTGAGTAGCTGCAGTTTAAGGCAAGATTTAGAAGATGGAGAAATGTGAACCTCAACAAGTTTGGGAGTTTTAACAAGTAAGGAAGTTTTAATCAAATTAATTGTGTATCAGGTTTTTTTTTCCCAAACATTGCTTGATTCAAGGGGAAAATGATGAGATGGTTAATATTTTCATGTTGATTTGATATCAGCTTGGGTGTAGATGCTTGCAGGTATTCAGAACATTTTTACTGCAATCCTGTAGTAGAAAAATTTGTCTCTGAAATTTGAGGGGAAATTATCTTAGCCAGCAGAAGCTGCCATCATGCACCAAACCTTTGTGCTCCAGATGACAAGACCAAGTCAGAAAACTGTCTCCACCGTTATGCAAACCAAAAAGGTTCTTGGGAACTTCGCAGGCTGAAGCCTGCTGAATTCAGTCTGACTTGGAAGTTCCCTGCAGCCATCCAAGGCTTTTGGGAGTATGTTTGGGAATGTGTTTATTTTAAGATGCAATAGAGTTACATAAACATCTCTATTTGGTACACGTGACTAGAAAAATGTCTTTTCAACTGGATGCATTTTTTGTGTTCGTTTAAGCAGACTAACTAGTTTAAATGTATCAAGTTAAATATTTTGATCATAAATTATTTTTCTATAGCTTTGCAAACAGAGGTGGAAAAAAAAATCCAGTCTGAATTGGACTGGAAAAATGTCTCAACACTTTTTGAAGAAAGCTGTTTTTCTCCCCAGCTCCATTAGCTGGATGCTTAGAGTTTAATATTCCCATAAAAGAAGCAAGAACTCAAATATAATCAATCACTTGTTTAAACTAGCAAGGGCTGGGGGAAAAGAAAAAAACCCACAAAGCAAGAGTAGTCAAGCCGTCTTTATATCATATCCTTTTCCTCTCCACGTGGCTGAGGGTATCTGTCTCCGTAAAAAATCATTCTTGCATGAAAAAACTCAGTGCTTCATGTATTCCCCAGATAGTGAAAAAGAGCACAATGAAAACCACTCTAAAACGTTACAAGCATCCAATTCAGCATGACGCGAGCATTCACAGCCTGTGATGCTTGCTGCCTAACAGGAGTCTATAATTCTCCTCTAAAATTAGCGGTTTAGGTAGCAGAGAAGCTCAGGTTCCTCAGATCCAGGAGGTCTGGGATGCAGACATGCCCGAGGGGAAAATGTCTTAATTTTAACAGTCTTCTCTCTCACACGAACACTTAGCACATTTCAGAGCCACATAGCCTGTATGGAGTGAAACTAATTTGTACTCCCCAGGGAAGCCTTTTTTTCCCTGGTACAGGAATACCTAATCTCAAACGCAGCAAACTGTGGTTCATGTTAAAGCTGCCTCTCTAAACTGAGCTAGAGGCATAAAACTTTGAAAATGAGCAGACCTCAAAGGATCAGCAGTGCCCAAGGAAGGCAACTGGTCCTAAAGATTAAAAGGCTCCTATTAGAAGTGAAAATTTGCCAACACAAAACTCAAAGGAAATACATCTTCATCAGGTTCTGACACCCCCGTGACAGCATCGTGCTGAGGATTAGACCGTAGAGAGCGTTGTAGTAATTCAAATTTAACAAAGAGAAATTAGCGCTCTGAGTTTTCAGTTTCTCCCATTTAATCTCGCATCCCTAAACTGTTTGCAAGCAGGACTGTTGAAGTTGGTATCAGATTGGTCACATCCATATGGGTCTTACAGTGTACATGGTCCCACAGAAAGTAATTGCAAGGCAAATTATCAAGGCAATAACTTTCATATCCAGGTAGATCAGAGATTTTTCAGGGATGAACTCTGTTCTGATAATGGTTGATATTAGGTCAGGGCTCTCCAAGATTTGTTTGTGCTTATTGTATAAATCAAACTCATGTATAAAGGTGGTTCATGTTTATCCACTCAGAGGATCAAGCTGATATCAGCAAGTCGTGGCTGGTTTCCACTGCTAGCAGTATTAGCAACTGATCCATCAGAAAAGTGCGAGCGCATTTGCTGGGCTACCTTTGTGACTGTAATCACACTGTGATCACGAATTAACATGTACACTAAACTAAAAACTACACATTACTACTCAAATCAGTACACATGATGGTTCAGCGGTCACTTTGCATTTGATTTTATTTCAAGGTCAATACCCAGCTACTCGGGCTGTGTTTAGGAACAGCTTCAATAAATACTTCCATCAGTTTAATTGCAATGAACAGCATTGCTTCCCCCTGCTGCCCTGTCAGCCTGTATTTGTCTCCTATCTCTGTCTTGCATTGTAAACTCCCTGTGCCAGAGCATTTACTTATAGTGTTTTTAGCACTTAGCACTGTAGGATCCTTTGCCATGGTTATTTAATAGTAGCAGTGCTGCTACTAATAAATAATTAAGACCATTGCTTCCAATTCCAAATCATAAGATTCTCCTCCCATACTCTGCAGGTGCTTCATCGGCATGAAGACTGGTATCCTGCCAGTCTTTGGCAGGATTTGGTTTTCCAGTTTGCCCACTGCACAATCTATTATTAGAGTGCAGATTCACCCCTCGTGCTACGTTGCACTAGCTTGGGCTACCTATACTTGAACGCCTGCCAGCACAGCCCACCAAATGCGTTGACCATATACCATTTGGATCAACCACGTAAAATAAGCTGGACCAGCCAGTTTGCGGTAAGAACTATAGTCTCACCTTTTAAAAGGAAGCGTTAATCACACTTTAAAGGAAATGAAAGTGAGTTTAATGGATGTACATGTTGATTTTTTTGCAGTGTTTCCAGTCTATGTTAATCATCATTATTTCCCAGAGTTTATACTAGCAGCTTTATCCAAAAATCAGCTTCCTTACTGGGCATATGACATAATTTTGTGTTTGTTTAATCAATATCTCAATCATTTTAAGGATGTATTTTTCCCCTCTGTTACATTCCTACCTAAAGAATATGGTATATTGGCTTGGTGTCGGTTTACGCATGTATACGTAAGTATCCCTTTTATAGAACATACATTTATAGTAGCACACACATTTGTGTCTAAGCATGTGCTATTTCTTAGTCTGCAGCAAAGCAAGCTGGATAGGAAGCCAAGGCACTGTTTGGGAGAAGAAGAAATTAGGTGCTGCTGCCAGAAGCATGTAAAGCTGCTGAAGGTTGACCCTGCTGGCAGTAGTTCATTTTTCATACACCCCACTGGAAAACCAGTGACAAAATGCTAAATTGGAACAGTCCTGGAGAAAAAGGCAATTTTCTTTTCAGAGCTAAGATCAAAGGGGAACCGTTCCTAGTAGTTACGATTAGAGCAGCACTGTCAGTAATCCAGGTGGGACAACAGCAGGTCTGGTAGGGCACTGCGAGGGGCATAACTATGGATAGATAACAAGCATACATGACTTCAAAGACATGGTCACCTAGAGCACCTACCTTGCCAAAACCAACAGTGCAAGTGAAACTTTACTGAAAAGGCTAAAGTCTCTTGGGCTTTGCTAACGCTCTTTATTCCGCCATCTCCTGCTCTCTGTTGCACTCAGAGCCTTCTCCTGCATGAGGAAATGAGGCAGGATCTGGAAATGTCTTATACAGTTGGGTGTTTCAGTGTGGTTTAGTCACATGTAAGAGATTAGAGAAATAGGGTCTTGTGCAACCTCTTTATTCACAGATACGCAGATAGCAACAGCAGATGCGTCTTTGAGTGTTTCCTTATGGCTTTGTCTATAGGCATAAATAGATCACACACAGATAAGAAATAAATCAAGACATTAAATATAAACTCTGAAATGTCCTTAAAGTGAATGCAAGCACAACAGGCCATTTTCCTGGACTGAATTCTATGATACAAGGTAGTTTGCTGCTTCAAAGATATTTATGGGCTCGCAGCAGCTATGCTGCGAGATACAAAAGGGTTAATCGTCTCTATAGCGTGTGAGACGCTTTGACAGTTAAGCTTCATGAATGCAACCACGAAATTAATTCTTACCAAGGAAAACAAACCCCAGACAGAGCTACTCATGCACCAACTAGTTGCAATTTCCAAGGTGAGTTAAAGTTTATCAGAATCCCCAGACAAAAAACGCTATTAAGATACAGTTAAGGTTATAGACAGATACCAATTCCCAGGCAAAAGACTCCATGAAGATACACTCGAGGCTGTAAACTTATATGCCAATTAAATTCAAACACGATCCAAGCAGTGTAATTATTAAGAATGCTAAACATTTGGAAATTCAAAGTGACTGCTAGAGACAATATGCTTGATATAAAATTGATGGTGGTGTTTCAGCTAATAGTCTGACTTCTGCTGCTACTCAGCATTACCTTCTGTTTCTTGCTGTGGAACTCCTTGCCACAGGATATTGCAGCTGCTGATCTACCTGGGTGCAAAAAAAAATGCAGAGATTTGTGGAAGAAAGTCAGCTGAAAGTATTAAAAGCAAAGAAAACACCGATTCTGCAGGTTCCCTCATCCACAAGTCATGAAGACCTGCAGAACATTCCAGGAAAAAAAACACTTTAAACTTGAGACACTTTTATACACATCCATAAGGATCAGAGACCAGCCACTTGCAGCTAGTTTCACATGAAGGGTTTAGAACGGACACTCTGCCTCTTCAGTGCCGCATTGGCCCCTTGAGATATTATTTAACTCAGTTTCTCATTTTTACATAACTGTGAGCATTATCTTCTCTCTTTTAGCTTCAATAGTGATTGGGAAATGGTGGTGCGAGATGGAGCCCTGCCTAGAGGGAGAGGAATGTAAGACGTTGCCTGATAATTCTGGATGGATGTGTGCAACTGGCAATAAAATCAAGACCACCAGAGTAAGTCCTCTTTCTGTCTATACCTAGGAGGTGTTAATAGGAAAGGGAACCGCTAATGACTGCTAATCCATATCTTTTCCAGCATCATGCTTGCGGTTAAGATCTCAGCAATCACTGCACACTTCCACAGCTGTTTCAGGGTACATTAGCAGCACTATGGGTGGTTTGTAGGTGAGGTTTTGAACTGAAACTCAACTCACTACCTGCGTTTCAGGTCTTACTTCAGGCTAGTTCTAGCCCTGTGCACAGGGCTGCTAAATTACCCTGGAGCAGGCGTTAGGCTCGTTCCTGCAGTACCCCTTCCGCTTTGCCTTCATCTGAAAAGCCCCCAGTTTGCCCACTCTGAGGCTACTCTGCAGTGTGAGCCAAAGCATAGCAAGCGGGGAGAACTGGGAGATTCATTCAAAAAGGCACTCCAAGCCAAGCTAAAAAGCGAACGTAATGTGAACGCACCCCTTGCCAAACAGATCATTCATTATATCTCATCCTGCCTCCCCCCCTCCCCGGGAGGGGAGCCTATAAACATACCCTGGAGATGCTGAAGAGTCAGGTAACAGGGGCCAACAGGTCCCAATGGCTAAGCTTCTCCTGCTATGAGATTTTTCTTTGGGGGAAAAAAAAGCAGACTTTCTCTTTCAGAAATGGATTCTAGCTTTGTTTTTGCATACTGCAAATGTTTTACAAACATCTTTGTAAAACTGCTACCTATACCTGTATTCAGCAGTTTTAATTAAAATTGTTTTCATGCCACGATTGATTTTTCCCCCCAAGAAAATTACAGTGTTTTCAATTCAGAACATGTTCTTGTATGATTGAATAAGATTTTGATTTTCAGCAAAATGGACAATGTCTTTTGAAACCTGCTAAATGGAAAAAAGTGTTCAAGAAACTTTTTTCTGCTTATTAGCAAGTTCTACACGCAGGTAACCTGGCCAAAAATTCACAGGAATGTCACATTTAACGTCATGATTTCCTTACTTCTGTTTCCTGTGCTCCCAACTCATCATTTCTCATGTCTCCTAGGCCTTTCGATGAAGGAGATTTTACCCCAGCCGATCCTCACGCTTCCTGAATTCTTTTCCTCCCCGAATATGATTTTATCCCAGGATGAGAATGATTTGTAGCGCAGACTAACTGAGTTTCTCAGACGCTGTCTTGCAGGCCAGCTAATCTGGCCACCTCACTAAATTACTAAAATATCCATTAACGTAGGAGGTTTTCCTTGCAGGAGGCAGCAAGTGGCATCTGAAAGCAGGATGTGCATAATCACTTTGCCATCTCCCAGAGCAAAGTGCAGAGGGGACCACTGTGATTCTCAGTGACACAGTTTCTTGCTGGAGCGTCGTTGCTGCGAGTCGCTCCCCGCTCACAGCCGCTCTCCCCTGAGCTGAAACAGCCTTTGACGACTGCGCCCTACTCTGCGTTCCTTACAGCGGAACCAAAACCACCCGCTGTATGTCCTGTTCGGTGCGGCAACATTTTTCTTGACGAATTAGGGGATTTAAAAAGGAAGAAAGCAATGTTCAAAGCTAATAAGTAACATGCAAAACCATGCTATACTTTTGTTATTTACATTATAAAAGTAGCACAAAACCAATGATACTAACGCAGTACTCCTGAAGCGTGTCTGGAAGTTATATAACTTAGGAATTGCATTTGTTTCTTCTATGATCTTGTCCTGCCCTTAACTCCCCCAACCCTGATCGTATAAGCTAGTTTTCAGCAATAGTCTGCATCTAGAGGTGACTGCTAGAAAATTTAACAGCTTCATTAATATTCAGATGTATGGTCCAATCTATTCAGTATGCACTATTGTACTTCATTTAAATTAAATACTTACAGAAGTGAGTGCTCATAACTGAAAAAAATATTTCTGTCAGCTACCCACAGGAGTTATTTTAATTAGCTTGAAAGGGGAGTACCTTATGGTGCTGCCTCCAGTAAAATTTTGCTTTGTTGCTTCAAAATATCCTTACAAGACCACAAATGGCAAAGGCAACATGACATGATGTGCTTAGCATTTGTCTCTTGCATTTTCTAAGCAAAAATCATACTTCATAATCCCCGAAACTTTGCTTGAATCCCTACTGCTGTGTCAAGTCTAGCAACATAAAGTAATACAAGCAATCAGATCCTGAAACGGGCAATTTTTCTTTGTTTTGTTATTTCAGATGGCATCAGAGAAAGATTATGCTGTAATCTGTACTGCCCCAGTCCATGCTACACGATTGGGCTGTGCGTGTCTAATTTATATAGTTAAGAAAGCAGAAGCAGCAACACAAATCAGTCAACATCTTAGATATATCTGTGGTGATTAGCCAAAAAACTAGACCAAATCACCATAGGCTGTAAACAGTTTTAGCAGAGGCTTTTCCTTACACAAAACGCATTTGTGTTGAGCAGCTGCTGCCCTGACCAGGAAAGCATTCATTTATAGATCACAGGATTAAAATACTTATTTATATATTGTTCAAGGCTCACAATATATCATACACAAGCATGTGCATATATAAATATATATGACCGCATATACATGACATACAATCTTGCATCGCAGTGTAGTTCACAGCTCGTTTTCCAAAGGGATTAATACTGGTTAGCGGTAGGTGGACATCAGAGCCAGTGAAGGCTTTGCCAGCAGAACCTGCTTTCCTACTTTTTTATGCATTTATTCCTGGGTTTTGCCCTTTAACGTAGTTCACTAATGAAGTTGTTAAAGCCAGAAATGTAAAGCTCACAGCCTCTGAATCGATTTGTTTTCTATTGATAGTCAGAGCAGGTGACTGAAACGCTGGAATGAAATCATCTGGTAATTCAATTCTTTGGTCTGGTTTTAACCTCATTTTAATCCCTCTTCCTTTTTTTTTTTAAAAAAAAAAAAAAAAAAGCACAAGTCTCAAAGCTTTCTTTGAAAAGTTTGGGCTTTTCCCCTTTCACGATGTCCCCAAGGGAAAAGCATGCATTTCGTAGTAGCCACCACGCATCTTGTACTACAGCAAGCAGCCCCTGAAGCGACCATGGTCCCTCAGCACCATGGTCCCATGGCATTCACCGCTCCTCCAGTGCCCAGGGGAATACCTGCAGCAGCATATCACGGAGAAGGGGCTGCTTGCACTCCCTGGGAGAGAAAACCCAGCAGCATCATTTGTCAATGGTGAAGCAGGAGAGCAGAAAGTAGCAACTGGATGAGGGAGGGAAACAGTAAGAGAACCCCAAATTTTATCTATTTATTAGCTGTCTGGCCAGGTTAATAAGTGAAATTATTTTCAGTTAAAATTTTCTCTACAACAGTGAAAAAAACCTGTTTTTGTGATAAGTCTCTGCAATTATGAGGTCAGCTGAAAGTAGTAGAGCACAAGACAATAAATATCTATTGCTATGAGTTATTGCTGCATTTCATCATATCATCAAGTGCTTAGCTAATAATTTGTAGTCCTAATTTAATGCCTCAGCCTGCTCGTATTCAAGTCAGTTTGAGTTTCTTTGCTGACTTAATTGTCTAACGAAAGGTTGGGCCCCTTGTGCCATTCATCTGTGTCTATCAGTGTGGGAAAGAAACAAAAGCCTCCACTCAGGAGAGCTATTTTTGCTTCTGGTAGGTCATTCTTATTTCAGCATCCTAAAAAACCCTCTCTGCAGCAGCGTTTCCTCCTAAACCCATTAGTGTGCTCGCTTGGATCAATTCCAGTGTTTGTCATAAAGAGCAATGGCTTTACGGTCTGTTGTGCTACGTGGACCAGATTATCTCACCCAAGGTGACTAGATAAAATTGGTCAGACTTTCTAATTTATTATAAGGTCTCTCACACCCCTCTTGGTACAAGTGTGTGCATGGGGGGAGCCCAAATTAACCTGAAAGCTGGTTCCACCCACGTGCCCTTGGCCAGGAGGAGTTGCTATCATCCGCCCAAGCAGGGGAGGGTAGTCGAGATTTCAGCTCACACATACGATTAGCAATGCAACGTGCCACAAACTGCCCAGGTCTCTCTTTCCTTTAATAACATATAAGTGACTTTTTTGTGCTTCCCTACTGCAGATCCACCCAAGAACCTAACAGAGCGCCACCCGCATGGATACAGCGAGAGCCTGACTGGCGCACGAGGACATGGTATTGAAAGCTTAAAAGCGTCGCACCACTTCCAAGCCAAATGGATTTATTTGCACTTTGACTGTTCACTAGATAACAGTGGCTTTACTGCGTGAAAAGAGTATTCTGAGGAAATAACGCCCCTGATTTTTGACACCCGAAAAGCAAAGAAAACAATGCTTTGGTAAAGATTATGAAGTACAAAACAGCAGTATTATAAGTTTGGATCTACAGTTTATACCATTTAAAGTATATATATTAATATATATTAATATATGATATTTTGAAATAAAAGTCTCACTCTTCAAGAAATTGAATAATACCACATTTTGCTGCAGCTGCTGTAACTTTTTTTTTTTTTTTGTAACCGTCTGGAAGATCCCTACCTGTTTCAGCAAAAAATCAGGCAGTGAAGAGGCAAAGCAAACCCACTGCAGTACAAGGACGCCGAGAGCTATGTGAATCATACCGCTGCGGCATCCCGAGCTTCCCATCCCCTTCGGCAGAGTATCGAGGGCATTTTGTTGTTCCAGTTTCTCGTGTCCTGGAGGCTTTTCCCCCTTGTGCAATACTAGCATGCTGGCTTTGCTTACATAACCATACTTGATATTTAACAGTGATAATTCTATCCTCTTCCAAGAAAATATTTTTAGAGCTATGAGATATTCCACAAAGAAGAGAAGGACAACTACTGAGTGAAGTACAGTATGTATTAAAAGTTTATTTGGCAGAGTTTGGTAGACTCTGAGCTCCCTTCTTATTAAAGATGTACTGTACATACAATGTCTTCAGACTCTGTATAGCTGGTAGAGACTATAGTAAAAACCCAGAAACGAACTCCAAAGCTTTGCGTTGTTCGCTGACTAATTCTTTGAAACAACAACAAAGCTTCTTTTTCGTACCAACACACGAGAGGGGTTTTACATACAGTTTGATTTTCGGTTTTTTATGAGCCTATTTGCAATTGTTGAGCAAGCATTTAAGTTCAATCAAATGCCTGTATGGACAGCATGGGCACGTGCGCAAGGTGCTATGGCCGGCGCATGCTGTGGGCACGCAGATGCCTGCCCACGCGCATGCCTATGACAACCACCTACCTTTAACCTTCCCATGGTGCAGGCCAGGCCAAGTCACACACCAAGCACCTGCCACCTGCTAAAAGCATGCACGTGGACACCTCCATGGTGCAGCAAACGCACAAGTCTGTGGTCAATGAGTTGTGCCCGAGCCCTGCTTTTATTTCTACAGTCGTTTCTTCTGGTTTAGTTTCAATGGTTCTTACAAGGGGGAATTCAGCTCAGATAAGATATTCTTCAGCTAGGATGTGTCCCAGGGACATGTGGCCACTACCCACGAGCGCTTTGCTTTGCCAGCTCCAGTTAAGCGAGTGCTGCTTACCGTGCAGCTGGGCCTTGCACTGCTGAGGAAAGGCCGAATACAAGGGCTCAAGCGTGCAAACCTAGTCCCTATTCCCAAGCACTTTGAGTGGTCCCATTAATTTTGGTGTGTTTACTTGCTCAGTATCTTGCTGTCATGCATACAAGTCTGCTCAATTTAGCCTTCAGAATGCCTAATGCTACCAAATCAGAAAGGAGGAGAGAAGTGTAAAACTTATTTTATCCAGTCCAACTTCACTTCTTTAGTATTTCCAATTTCCTTTCACCCTACTTAGCTGTCTCTCATAGGACCCCTTTGGCCATGCTAATCAGCTTTAATCCAGTGCAGACTAAGTGCTGCACTTGCCAACCCAGAATCAGTCAAAATTCTTCCACTAACTTTCTTTCTCCTTCAGGGCAACCACTTCAACACCTGATGTTTCAAGAGGTAGAAATTTGTCACTGTAATTACATTGTATATTACAGCAGCTACATGACATGTCACACCACATTCCATGTCACACCATTTATGCTGGTCCCTGCCCGATGCTCACAGTTAAAATGGACATGCTGCTTCCAGGAAGTAGTGCTGTTATTTCCCCTTTTAACAAGGCATGAGACTGAAAGGTGTCTGGGAGAAAGTTTCTCCTCTGTGCACAGAAAGGCTAAAAGAGGAACACGAGTCCTGCCACCAGTTGCAGGTCCTGCTGCTTGGAGATCGGCCCCACTGGTGGAGCCTGGGACAACTGTGCCAAGAGCATAGGCCAGCCGGATGGGTCATGTGTTTGCTGGTCTGCAGCAGGCACCAGCCCAGACTACAGAAGGCATCTGGACCCTAGGCTGCATTTGAGAGGTGGTAGGCCACAGGCACATGCCCCTAGCCCCATCTTCTGTTTGGAGAGTGCTGCTGATTCATGCCTTCCCAGAACGAGCTCATCAGATCAGCTCCAGGCTCACTCACCGCCAATGAGGAGAAATTCCTCCCAAGTAAATCCCTTGTGTTTCTCATTTTTACAGAAACTAGCACTTCAAAAACTTCATGACCCTCTTGAGCTAGGAAGCCTCTAATAAACTAAAAGGTGGGCCCTGCTGCCAGGAGATGAGGTTATTAAAAGGCAGGAAGCATTATCATCCCTTTACCAGTGGGAACTGAGGCACACAGAGCTGAGTGGCCACTCAAAATCACATCAGAGGCCATGGAGAAAGCAAAGATTGAGCTCCAGTTTCCTTATTCCCATCTGGTGATGTTCTGCAAGGTGCCTCACACACAGACTGATGCGTGGCCTTTTGCACACTTTGTTGAAGCCCAAGGTGTCATGAATAGGAGCTATTTACGCCATAGCTGTATGTCTGACATGGCTCAAACCAAGTACATAACAACGGTTATGCCCATGTCTATGAAATGGGCCTATTGAGATGGGAAAATATTTAAACTTGCTAAAATATAAGGAGGAGGAAGCGTCATTACTGCAGCAAAGTTTTAGAGAGGTTTATGAATTTTTTGTTGCCAGTAGGCAGTCTCAAATATCATGGCACCAAATTCAGTAAACATCTGCGTCTCTTTGAAGTTATTGCAAAATCTGCTCACGAAGTGCGGCACTGAGAAATTGCTGTTTTAATTAAAATGTTTTAGAGGGGAATTAAGGCCTTTGCAAAAATAATGACTAATAAAATGTGAAGTCAAATTAAGAACCTGACGCAACTAACCTTCCTTGTTTCAGTGCACCAGATTGAAAACAATAATAAAAACATTCAACCAGCCTGAAGTCACAATGATCATGTATTTCAGTGATGTGCACAGTAATACACTGTATACAGAAAAGATCTCAGAGTTGTTTTTTCACTTCAGCTGATGAAATACCAATGTGTTTCAGTGGTGAATTGAATGGGTCCCACATCCTCATGAGTGCAAGTTAAGCTGTTCTTTGCACAACAAAAAAAAGAGTATTTACATCAACATAAGAAGAAGTTCAAGTTTCAGCTTCCTGCCAGAAGTCCAAAGGAATAGCAGGGGAGGGAAAAAAAAGGAAAAAAAAATCAAATATTTGTAAACGCTTCAAAAATAAGCTTAGATTTATGTCCATGTTTCTTCTTCAGATGTGTGAAACGAAGTTATGTAAATCTAAAATGTACAAGTTGGAAAAAAATGAGACTACAGTAGCTACCACCTGCCTATTGATTCAGAAAATCCAGATTATGTGCTTCTGTCCAAAAATCTCTAGTAATAAAGAGTTCAGTGTGATATGATTTGATATTACTTTGAATATGCTACATTCAGAGAAAGAGTGACCCATGGAGAAACCATCCAATGTTATAACCAGCAACGATGAAGAGGGTGATGTACATGACAAACGTAGCGTTACACAGAGAAAATCCTGTGGAAAAAACAGTTTATGATGGATGATACTCTTATCAGAGCTATTGATTGACCATTAGCAGATTTTACAGATAGTTTCAGTGGTGTATTGCTTGTATATTTTCCTATTATAAAATAAGTTACATTCCTAACTTGCATCATTTGCCACTGACACTGCATTTCTCATGGTCATTCTGTCAGAGAACAGCACTTTTCTGCTTCACTGTATGGTCCAAATATAATAGCAGGTAATGGAGAAGTTGTGGTGGGCATAGATGTGTATTGACATGGAGAGCACACCCATTTCATCTGAAGGTGGCAGCCTGTTAATTTTTTGTATTGCAGGATGAATACTGTGGCATAGTATGAGCTTCTCTAGTATTGACACCTTAGTCACATCCCAGTAAGCAGGTTTTAGAGCTTGCCTGACAAAGAAATGGGTCATGCTTCTTTGCTTGGTATTCTACTTCTTTTGTTAGAGAAAAATAGAAATACATTCCACAAATAATCTTTAAAATAGACAGAAGGGGATATGCGTACATGGAAGCCAGTTTAAGGCTGTCCACACTTTTCCTAGTTCACCAATTTGAATTCGGATCATAGGCCTGACATATTTATAGTTCCTTCTCTGCAGTACTCAGACAATCAAAACACTTAACTCCACAAATATTTATACTTTATGAAACAATGCCACTCAGCAGCAAAGAAACCAAGTCCTCTGCCTCACAGGTAGGAAACAAACTCAAAAGCCTTGCCCAGGGTTACACTAGTAGCAGTGGCAGAGCCAGAAATAAAACCCAGGCCTACTGGCTACTAGGCCAGCATCACAGATAGTTCAGCAGCAGCTCATGTGTGGGAGGTTTCATTGCCAGGAGACCCCTGCTTTGCCTTCACATAGCAGGGAGCAGAACTAGGGTGCCTCAGTCAAGGTGGACCATCCTGGGCAAGCACCAGCTGCTCAGAGCTAGTTCACCTCCTGCAGCTGAAATTGGGAAACCACTGAACCCATGGAAGATCACCACTGAACATGCGCCAACACATGCTGCTCCTCAGGGAATGACAAGCAAGGACACAATCCCACACCACTTTGGCTCTACAGCTCCCAAGTAGAGACTACTTTGAGCCTCTTGGGTCAGAACAGAGACGGGACAAGTCCAGAATTGACTGTGCTTGACCGTGTCAGGCTTGGAGTGCTGAGAAAAGCTACAGCCAAGAGTGCTCTTTTTGGAGGTCATGATTTCTTAGAGATGCCCATCCACTAGAAGGGGGTTTTTGTGCAAAAGTTTAATTTGAGCAGAGAGAGCACATCCTCCAACATCAGAGCCAGCCAACAAGAAGCACAAGTAACTTGCGCCTAACTGAAAAACGTTGGCACCACTGTCAAGGGAGAGGAGTCTACAGATGGCAACTAAATCATGGATTATTTTGGACAAACATTTATCTGTGGGCACATCCATCAGGTTTCTTTGGTAAAACTTTTTGCTGTTGCTCAGTAAGTACCTCGAGTTCTTGAGTGCAGCTCAGAAACATACAGAAGCCTTTCCCACATGCCAGGCCTACATATGAAATTTTCATCCAACACTAATTGTCAGACTATTTTTTGTTTCCCACCATATGGCAATACAGTCAACTTCATATGACCGAAAGCAAATATATGTGTGAGCGTTAGGTTATTGACCTACCTCCCACTATTTCTTGCCCACTTGCTTTGTTCACAACAAACTGCCCCTTTTCAGATGGCTACCCTTGATTCACATCAGAAGTGAGGGCTATGGGCTCACCCAGAGCTGAAGCAAATTACCCATAGCCTAAAGTATTGCTCAGCAGAATATGCAATTCCTTTGTCCCACCTGTCATTCCTCTTCATTTCCTCTTTCATTTCATTCTCATTGTCTCATCCCCTCTCTTTCACACCCCTTAATTATTTTCATCCATCTCTAGTAGTCCTTTATCACCACTACTGACTCACAGACTAAAGAAAAGCAGCTATGCTGTCAAAACTTAATTTCAAAAGCCACTCCACCCAAAGGCAGTGTTCTATGTGATCTTCATTCTTTTCTTTCCCTGCATACTCCAGAAGGCAAGAGCCTGGCCTTGCCACAGCTGCTGTGCCTGCAGCTCCTAGCATTCGTGCTGCACACACCAACAACCCTCAGCTCAAGGCTGTGGGATCCATCTCAGTTGTGCCCCAACGAGCATGAAGCAGCTGCTGCTGGTGCTTGATTTGCAGCAAAGCAGTTAGTTGTTGACTCCTCACCTCTGCTGAGCCTGTCCTCTTTTGTGCATCTCCTACAATCTTGTATGCCTTGACCAGAGCCAAAAACTCTGCACACTGATCAGTATGGAATTGCCATTAGTTTTTTACCTCTGCAAGAGAAAAATCTAGGACTAATGATCTGATTAGATTTTTCTGGACTTGAAAGAGAGAAAGAAGAACAGTTCAAGTTGCCATTAAATGCACAACTTGGGATCCAAGCACAAAGATGCTAGTATTTTTCTGGACTCACTGCTGTTGCTCTGTCAGTTACATCTTTCTTCTGAAGGACTTGGCTGGTCAGATTGGTGGAGGTAACATGCAATCTCATCTAAGGCAATCCAGAGTCCCTAAAGCCCTATTAGCATCTCACATATACTGATGTAAAGCAGAAGAACAGTTTGAAAATGTTAGACTGGAGACAACAGTCTGTGTCTTACCCCTCCTTCAAAAAGCGTTCCCTGAAAGCATCTTGGAGACAAAGCATGAACCTTCAAGGAATACTGCAACCTGAAGACCATCGACATTGAATTAATGCTGAAGATCAGCTAAAAATCCTTAACAGTGTGCTTGGCTCTTAATGAATTCAAGCCCTTAGTCATGCCTTCCATTAATTTTGCTACTGGGATAGAAACTGATGTGTCACCCTGAGACCCATTAAAATTTTAGTAATGAATGCCAGGGAAGAAGACTAAGCAAAGGCATTGCCTCTCTGCGTTACCTTAAGGAACCCTCCTGTTCATTACCTTAAGGAACCCTCCCGTTTTTCTTTCTTAATTCCACCAATGGCATTTCTCTTGCCACTTCCTAGCTGACTGGCTGAGTATCCCAGGCCTAATGCTCTGGTAAACCTAAGATGTAGCAGGGCAAAATGAAGTAAACATAGCAAAGACATTTTCTTAAATTTGCAGTTTACATCAGCTCAAGCACCCAAAGCCCTAAAACTGTTAAGAACATACAGTGGCCTTTTCTGCCCAGCTATACTGAGATGGGTTTATTATATGTATCATGTTCTCCTTTAGCTTTTCTACTCTTGGTAGCCATTTTCTAAATATTTTTACAACCCATTCTCTTTTCCAGCCCGTCTCCACCCTGCCTTTGTCATAGGCAACCAAAGTGATGTCCTACTTGCACAAAAGCCTTTTCTTTGACTCAGGATACAAAGCAGAGCAGACAATAAGAGCCCATTGGTCTTATTCAGCAAAGCTAATCTCATCACTTGCTTCACCATGGGATTGTAAGCAGTATGCCTTTCTCCCCTAATGGAAAAAGCACTGCTTTGTATCCCGCCCTTTTCTTCTTAAAGTCAGAAGACTTTGATTATTTACAGCTCTAGCTCCTGTAAGTCTTTCCTAATTCTCTAGTCTGAAGAGAATTGAATGGAGATGTCAGAACGGTAGGCCTAATCCTACAATTTTTTCCTGTAGATATTGTGTCCACTGATATAATCCGAGCTTTTTGCCTAGCAAAGCTCTCCTAAGCATTGTCTTGTTGCCATCATCGTTGTCCCTGGGAACTGGAGACTGAAATAGCCAACTCTGAAGTCCTAGTCCAGGCATTTACATATTTTACAAATTAAAGACACAATGAATTAATATTTAATGTTAGTCTCTATCCTTTAGTCCCGGACCTCAGAGGGTGCATCAACATTTCCACAGTGCCAAGTGAGGTTCGCTGAGAGATGGAGACAGGAGCAGACTTGGGGAAGGCATGACCCAGGCAGGCTGTTTCCCTGGAGGGTCTCTACACACTCCCTGGGAGCTGCTGGATTCTTTTCCCATTAAGACCACAAGTAAGACTGCTTAGCAGGGACTGGGGGGAAATCAATTAGTCTCAACCTATACTGCCATGCTTTTCTGAAGCATAATTAATTTCTGTTTTAAGTCCATTCTCTTTGTAGGCTTACTCCAGAGGTGTATGTGGTTTAGAAAAAGATCATCACTTGCATTTCAATTCCCTTTTTCACAAAAATCTTCCTGGAAACAACTAAAATAAATCTGCATATCTTATCAGCTGTATACTGATATCAGCTACACTATAACTGTGATGGCAAGGAGGTGTGTTCCAAAAAGTGGTTAATTCGACCCATATTTTTCCCATAAAATTTATCATAAATTGTACTGGCTATATCTCAGGTACCAAAAGCCATTACAAGGGGTAACTTCCAAGATGCAGTCATTGCAGCAGGACTCTACCAGGGTCATAATGATGCTCAAACACTTTTTTTTAAAAAGGGGTTCATTAGCTGTGCACAATTCGTAATAACTGTTTAGCCTGCATCAGTTTCCTTTGTGTTATTAGTAGCATCTAGATTTACTTGCTGCCTATAAAGATTCACCATGCTGAAAGTAACTGAATTCACTTCAGATGAATTGAGTAGTAAAGGTCAAAGCCTGCTTTCAGTCAAAATAAAAGTTTTCCTCATAAGTGGATTTAACCCACAGTGTTTGCAGTTGACAATGTTGCTTTGCAATGTTGTTTCCACCATTGAATTAAAAGTGTCTTTTTTCCCAGATCATTATTTGTAGTCTGGCTGTTGAGACTGCTTGCTACATATGATCCATGAGACCTGGGAGCCACAGACGGCCTTCAAAAGCTCTGCCATGGAGGCTTTTTTTGACAATAACATCTGAA